GGCTGGTTGGCTTCAGTTCCCCTACCGGCTTGTTGCCAATCATACATCCCCCCCACTGGCTCCACCTCCTCAGCCGGTGGAGAGGTTGTTGGCTGCGGTGGGTTGAGAGGAACAAAGAACAGCTCCTCACCTGTCTCTGTGAAGCTGCCACCTCGCAGCACAGAGGGTGGCACACTGGTCCTGTGCAAAGGGGGGTAGTCCATCTGAGTAGGTTTCAAGTGGTTGAGTCTCCGGCAAATTTGTAGTCAAGTCTTGCGCAGCCTGGCTAAAATCAACCATTTGTGTTTCCACCTCGTTCAGCCAACAGGCCGGAGAGGACAAGGGCCCATCAACCAAGGTCTGCAGAGTCAATGACTCTTCAGGCTCAGCAGTAGCAACCCAACCATTTGGAGCTCCTCAATATCCAGGAAGCGAAACAAAGTGAGTTGGTACTTTTCCCCATTCCGCCTTAAAGAAGCACAACTGACAGAAAAGGGTTTCCTTTACCATTGTGTCTTTCACCCCAATACTTGTCACACTCCCGTCCTTCTGCAACAACATCTGCTGCAGCAACGCTGGTAGACGGCTCACAAGCTGGCAGATCCTTCGGCTTCCCATCCTCCAAGTTCATGGTGTCCAGCTTATGCTGAGCAGCTTCCAAGTAGGCCTGGTAGCGCTTGTAGGCTTCACGTGCAGACAATGCCTGTGTTGGCAGTGCATGAGAGGAAGGGTTTTTTAATGATACGGCGACCACCGAGATCTACACCAAAGGAGCGGCCCTGAGAGAATCCCATTCAGCCAACAGGTTTGGCCTGGAAGCAGCCCTGGCAAGTCTGCAATCAAACTCCAATGCTGTCCTCAACCTCTCCAGTCTTCATCTCACATTCCCCAGCTGAAGTTGAGTCGCCGTTCTCCTCCATGTGAGCCTGGCAGGGAAGGGCAAGGTGAGTTGATAAAAAGAACGCAATGAAAACCCTTTTCTGCTAAATGGGTGGGAGAGGTGGGTAACCAGTAACCAGTCACGCCTTTAACTGCTTCATGTAAGCTCCCTTGAGCACATCGAAGATGCTGGAAAGCTCTGATACCTTGAGCCACCGGATGGACGCAGTATACCCATGTCTTACCCATGTATAGCCCCCCCACAACGCTAGGAAGTACGAACAGTTAAGAAAAAATGAACAAGCATTGGACGGTGAGCAAGTTGCCCTTGTGTTGGTGTACTTCATCACAGGCCCCCGAAATTGAGTCACCATTTTGTGAAGACTCCAAGCGTCATTGTACGCCCAAACTTTCATCCGCACATCTGACACAAGCTGGGCGTACACTGGATGCTGGCTGTAGTAGTGGAAAGTCATTTTGGAGATCACTTCGATTGGGTCAGCACCTAGCCGACCTCGGCGAGCCATGTCCTTTGCTAAACAAAGGATGACCTGCGAGTTGTGAATTGTGTTTGCTCTTGTTGGCAAGCACTCTGGTTCACCCTTCTTTTCTTCCTCCCCCTTCTCACTTTCCCGCTTCTCACTTCCCCCCTTCTTGACGTCAGCAGCTTCTATCAGCCGCCCCACCCTTTTCACACGCTCTTTCAGGATTGGACAGTCCCACCAATCCTCAGCAACCCTCTCAGGCTGGTCACAGGTGGGCCCATCTGGAAAACGCTTCCCAGGCATGGCTAGCGCACTGTTTGCTAAACCTTCCAAACTGAAAGATGCTAAAAGCATCTAAAAGCATGGGTAAAGGGTAGCGGACATGGTAGGATGACTCAACCCACGCTGTCACACACACACACACACACACCGAACACAGAAGAAAAACAAAGGCAAGCTGTGCAAAAGCAGTGGAAAACACTAAGCGGCATCGTTCCTGAATGTCAAAAGTCTGACCTAGATATCAATCTCCGAACACCGAGTCAGGGGAACATCCGTGAGGATGAGGAGACATTGAAAAGAGTTGTCAACACTTCTCAGCTCATGGAAGCTCTTGCGATCCACCGAAAGCATGGTCACCCAAAGACCTGGCCTCCAGCTCAATGATCGTTGCGGTCTTTCGCGCCACCCACCACATGTGGCAGCAGCGGCAAATGCTTGTGACTGATACCCCCAGTCACGACCCCAAAACCCTTAAGTAGCACACACTTCCTTGCAGTGGCTCTTGGTGCAAACTGATTGAATTTGCTGTAGTGGTTCCATCAACTGAAAGCAATCACATAGTCTGTAATTAGTAATTATTTTTAATGCTATTTCTTGACATTCTCTTTCTTGAACTCCTCGAGATCGCAAGATTCTTGTGCATTTCTGCAGCCTTACCAAGAGCCTACTTTTTTT